CAGAAAAAATGGGCCTATATTTATAATTTTTTGTGGCGACATTTAGTACCCAATAAGAACCCAATGTACCAAATTTCAGCGAATTCGGTTGAAAAACGCGTTCAAGAACCCCAAAATACCGAAAATTTGGGGGTACCCTTATATGGGAGCTATGCCTAAACGTGGACCGATATATCCCATCTTCGAACTTGACCTGCCTGCAGACAAAAGACAACCCTAGCCAAAATTTCAGCACCCTATCTAAATTCCTTCGGAATATAGCGTGATTACAACAGACGGACAGACGGACGGGTATGGCTAGATCGTCTTAGAATTTTACAGTGATCAAGAAAATATATATACTTTATGGGGTCGGAAATGAATATTTCGGTAAGTTACAAACGGAATGACAAAATAGTGTACCCTCTATACTATGGTGGAGGGTATAAAAATTGGAATCTAGGGAGGATTGTGAAAATCGACCACTAGATTTTTTTTTTTTTTTTTTTGTAAATAGAGAGCAGGTTTTCTATGAGAGAGGCATTATGAAGTTGGAACAAATCATATAACAGAAATCGGAAATTCCGAAGCATATTAAATAAAGACCTATATTTAATATAAAAATAATAGATTTCTCTTTCCCCAACATAATATATAAGAAAAACTGTCGGATTCGTCTGAAATGTTTAATATATCTAATAATGCTAAACGCGTTAATAAGTTTTTTACACAGTATAGAGATTGAGATAGCTTTATTTTTGAAACGGATTTTCAGATAATAATCCCGATTTGGTACTGTTTTTTATGAACCGAATTAACATATATCGATATTATTTAAAAACTAGAAATATTATTGCTCTAGAATCAATTTGTTGTATAATTTTTACAACTTCGAACGATAAAAGGTTCACTTGTATTAGCACCGGATCTAGTTGAAAATTTTAAATTATGGTTCATGTTATGACACAGCCCTATTTTATTTTATGTATTTTAAAACTTCTACACGAATTATCCAAACAAATTCTTAAAGGACAGAACACCTCCTAACCGCCTTAACTAATGGGTCTATAAGGCAATAAGCCACGCATCTTTTACAATTATATAGATTTCCTAACATGTTTTATAGTTATATATGGGGAAAACTCTACCATACGCATGTTTACATATACATAACACAAATTAAAGTTTGAGCATCATATTAACTTACTTACACCCATCAATAACATCTATCCGCATAAACACGTTTCATAGCGTTTTTCGCTAAGATGATATGTAGCAAAAAGCAACATTCAACTATTTAATACAAAATTTAATTGGATACTTGTTATAAACTTGATCATGTTAGAACCAGAATGTGTTAAGTGAAATCCATTTTCATTTTTCCAATAATGTTGAAACTGGTTAAACTTAAATTGAAATTAGAGAAAATTAGAAACTATAGCATTTCACTTTCAAGCGTATTGGAAAAGTAAAACCATTAATGAAAAAAATAATTTAAAATTTGAGAGGAACTCTTGTCGTAGCTTAATGCTGACACAATAAATCGGTAATATCTTCAAGACTTGTTAAGATTTTCACTTGGAATTTTAAAGGTTCAAATTAAGTAGAAACACAACATTGAATTTTTTGGAACCAACAATGGAAGTCCCTTAAAGAACGATGCAAATTCTCCTCCAAAACTTCATTTTTTGGGGATAGTATGGGATGGGAAGTATATTCCTCGCCAAATTTCATCGCAAAATTTCCACAAACAACTTTTCGAATAATATGGATTGCAATATACATTGGTCAGTAAGGGAACCGACCCTCTAGAACTTCATTCTAAGAGTCACAATAGAATTTTTCGACGAACAATAACTATTTGAGATGAGATGAGAAATCCTGAGATGAGAAATCCTCGGGGTCACGAAATGTCTTTTTGAAGATTTGATAACTATTGAAGTTCTTAACAATAAAGCAGCAGTTGCCGATGGATTATCAGCCGACCTATTCAAGACATGTGGTCACGAGCACCAGCTAATTAAGCTAATTAATACAATTTGGCTGGAGGAATGCACGCCCAATGATTAGAACCTCAGCATACTGTGTCCCGTGCACAAAAAAGGCGACAAGATGATAAAATAAGTCTCCTTCCCATTGCATATCATAGTCAATGGTCAATGACATTATTGGACCATACCAATGTTTCTTCAGGCCTGGCAAATTGACCAGATTTTCACTCTGTGTCATGCAAATGTGAACAAAAATGACACTCTGTACACCAAACAGCATATGTTAGTCGTCTACAGTACGAAATCGACATAATGGGTCGAACATTGCCAGCGGAAACAGCCAAATTTGAACGAATTGAGAAGAAGTCAGCTATAGTTGGACTGACATTAAGGAACCCCCCTTCTCGATTTTTTTATTTTTAAGATTTTAAATGGGCTGTTAAGTGAATTCCAATGCTTGTTAAGGTTTGTAACTTTGCATATATATATATATATATATATTTGAAGATTAAAAAAGGAAGAAAAATAATTTACAAAAAACTTGTTGTTGTAGTTTTGTTGTTGTATTTGTGATCAAAGAAAAGTCCCAATTTTAATGTCGGGCATTATAACTCCTCACTAGAACATCGGAATCCGAAACGGAAAACGGTGCTAGAAAGAGTACATGTCTGGCTCTCGTATGAACGAGGATTATTGACATCGCACAATAATTAACCAAAATGGCGGAACTTTGAAAAAATGTGTTTGGAAAATCGTCTATTTCTGACCACAAACTAAGTTCAAAAATAAGGAAGATCTTCACCGATTGGCTTTATCCTAGTTCATACGATAGCTATACACTCACTGAGAAACGTCCCAAAATTTGAAATCGATTGGGTTATTAGTTTTTGAGTTATCTTGCCCGCCATTTGCAAAAACGCTGTTTGGAGAAAAACGCGTTTAAAGTTTGAGAAGCCCTCTTGCTGTCACTTGATGCTAATGCAATCAATCGGCTATATCTTCAAAAATTGTTGGGATTTTCTCTTGAAATTACATTTTTTTAAAACCGAGAATAGGTGGGGTCCCCTTAAATGGCGAGAAGATCAAGCTGATCGTATCAAAGCCTTGAAATCCTGAGGAGAATAGTGTTGGCCAATAGCCAACCTCTCGGTAGACCAAAATCACAGTACACAAAAAGGCGATATTACCTGTGCTGTTTATGGAGGTGAAACATGGGTACTTGCGCAGGCAGCCCTTGTAGTGTTTGGGAGAAAAAATTCTCCAGGAGATATATGGGCCGATCTGCGTCGACGATGAATATCGTCTTTGAATAAATCATCTATTCACGGCCATCGACATAGTCAGACGGATCGAGCTGCAGTGACTATGTTGGCTTGGTCATGTTGTGAGAATAGATGAGGATTTCTCCACCCAAAAGGCATACAAAAGCGAGCCAGCTGATGGTTGACGCAGAAGGGAAGGCCACGAAGTCGATGGAGAAATCAAGTAGAAGATTATATCTCGGAACATAGTCCTTCAAATTGGATGAGATCTGCACAAGACCGACGCGCCTGAAAATTTTCTTTAAGCTCGCCTTATGGAACAAGCGTTGTGGCACAAGCCAGCTAAGTAATGTAAGTAAGTCTATCTTAAAAAGAGTTATATTTGTAGAAGAACCCTAGAGTCTGTTTTAATAGTAGATATACATACAGAAGACCTCTAGAAGGTATTCTATATATTGTTCGTCTATTGAGATTTCACTTAATGCCGAACAAAATCCGAATCTAAAAACATTTCTCTATATTTGAATTTCCATGTGGTAATTGTCATATCCGTCCTCTGACATGAATAGAATTGACATAAGATTAAATGTACTGAACATATGCGCTATTACATGAAAATTTTGTCATTTTTCACAAACAAGTCTTGGTCCATTTGATCAGCTAAATGTTGACCCATCACTATCAAAACAGGCGTGGTTATTCATGTGGAACTGATTCCCTTTCCTGTATTGCTCGGGCCATAATTGCAGCATTTTTAACGACCAGAAAACGTAGGTCAGAGGCCACAACCATGCTTTGTGGGGCATAAAAAGCTGGGCAATACTGCAAGTATATCCTTAGAAGTAAATACGGCTGCATTTGTTTCTATTTTATAAACAAATGCACAAAGAAGTAATACATTGGGACGCAATTTGATACTGGATACAAAATTATGCAAGGAATGGTCAATTAGTTAATTCGATTCTCATTCTTATAATGAATTCATCCCAGTTGGTATTACTGATTTCACATCAATACTCCGAAATACATCAATAAAATACAATTTTGAAAAAAAATTGTAACTTCTATTGAAACATCTCGTATTCTGCAAATATTTACAATGAAATGAATGGAATTTTAATAAATTTCTAGGTTTAATCACTCAGCATACACTCAATAACATGAATTGTCCTTTTATTAAAGCACAATTGTATTACATGACCTATACTTGGCAAACAAACAGAAAAATATTGTCAGAAAACAAAAGACTTAAGCAACAAACGTCATGCGTTTACCTTAACGAAAGTAAAAAGAGGCTAACAACCTAAAATACCCGCAACTTGCAAAATCAAACATACACACGCACGCACTCACAATAATATGCACGTTGTGTTTTGTTTTTCTATTTATAATTTTTGTCACAATACTTGGCGTTAACGGTTTACATTGGCATAAAGAATGATTGTGTCTGAATACCAACCTCAATGTAAAAAAAAGAGGTGACCTGATTAAAAAGAAAAGAGAATTTTCTACTTTTATGTATAAATAAATGAATAAACCCACACACATTAATTCAATTCAATACGCCAATCGAGTCATACATTGTTATCAACGCCGTTTTATTATTAAATATTTATGTGCGTGTATAAGTGTGTGAGCGAACGTGTCTCGGAATGTTTGGCTTGTTTCACCATTGACACTTGGAAATCACTTTAAAATATTCATACATATATCGTATATTTAGTTTGTTGTTTTTGTTGTCTTCTTCATTTCTTTTATAGAAAGTTACCTTAGTTTTGTTGCTGCCACTGCCACTTTTGCTTCTGCTTCTTGTTGTTTGTTGGTGTTTTTGTTTTGTCAGTCTTCTGGTTTTTTTGGCCTGTCTGCCAGTTCTGTCCACTATCGACTGTGTGTATTAATCCAATAGCACTTGTGTGCTCAGAGATTCTTATGAATTTCTGTATTGATCCAAAATCTAGAGTTTCGATTTTTTTTATTTGTGGCTTTCTTTAAAATATTTTCACTTTTAACTTCTCAATTTGAATATTTTTATGACATTTGTATTTCGTTAGCATTTATGCGTGTATCTACTTTTTCTTAATGATTTGCATTAATGGTTTAATTTTCATCACAAAATTCATATTATTTTCTCTCTGGATGGATGAAGTGTATTTTTATTATATTTATTTCATATGTTTGTGTGTATTTTATTACTTCACTTGGTCGGTTGATGGTAAATACAAAAAACCTATAATTAATGAAATGCTTTTCGATTTAAGAGTTTCGTTTTCTTCGGCTAGTTTTCTTAAATTTTCTATTTTTTCGTATTTATTGTTTTCTTCTTGTTTTCTTAATGCTATTTATTGCTGTTTTCACGTTGTCTTATTAAACATTTATGGTTAAAAAATTTTCTTTTTTGTTTCCTCTTTCATCGTGTGCTACACTTCTTGTGTGTGTTGTTTTGTGTTTATAACCGTAGACCGCTATTCACGTCATTGCCAGTCTAACTCTCACCGCTAACTGATCTTTCAATGGCAACAATATGATTATTGTCTTGGCCAAAAGCAACCAAAGAGTTGTTGAGTGAATCTGACTGTTGACTCGAACTTCGAACATGTTTATCTAAAAGCTCTCTTGAGTGTGTAAGAAGAAAACAATAATTGAGAGAGCAATTTTTTAAATCCTTCTTAAGTAATTTAAAATAACGGTCTTCTACTCTACATTTTCCGAAATGACAATACCAATATATTCAATAGGCAAATATAATGGGACGGCATGTCGTACTGAAATTCATACTAATTGAAAAGATAAAAGGCTTTAAGGGGACCCCCCATTCTCGGGGTCAAAAAATTGTTTTTTTATTTAATTCGAATCTACACTAATTCAAGAATGTCCCTACAAAATGTCAAGAGAAAATCTAAAGAACTCTTGAAGATATAGCCGATTTATTGTGTCAGCATCAAGTGACGGCTAAAGGGCTTCTCAAACTTTAAACGCGTTTTTCTCTTTTGTGAATGGCGGGCACGATAACTTAAAAACTAATGACCCGATCGATTCCAAATTTTTACACGTTTCTCTGTGAGTGTACAGCTATCGTATGAACTGGGATAAAGCCAATCGGTGAAGATCTTCCTTATTTTTTAACTTGGTTTTTGGTAAAAAAAATCGGCGATTTTCCAAAAATAATCCTAGTTCATCCGAGAGACAGACATGTGCTCTTTCTAACACCGTTGGAATTTTCGGATTCCGATGTTCCAGTGGCGGTTATCATGCCCGCCATCAAAAATAAGGACTGTTCTTTAATTACAAAAAAACAACAACAAAACAATAACAAAATTTTTTTGTAAAATAATTTACAAAATCTCTTCTAAATCTTCAAATATATATATGCAAAGTTACAAATCTTAACGAGCACTGGTATTGATTTTCCAGCCCTTTGAAAATCTTAATAAATTAAAATATAACGATATTCAAAGTTTAGATCGTCAAGGTTTTCCAATTGGTTTCATATAAAATGTACACATTTTCAAAATGTTGACCCTTTGGGAGAGGTATTAAGAGGAGTGGACCAATGGGTCTCATATCCGGACCTGATCTAGGTATGGTGAAAATATATTAGGTTTGGGAAAAAGAAATCCATTATTTTTATATGAACTATCGGACTATATTTAACATGCTTCGGAATGTTATGCATCATTTTTTGCATGATTTGTTGCCTTTTTAAAGGTAATTTCATAATGTCTCTCTAATAGAAGTCCTGCTCTCTATTTGCAAAAACTCTAGTAGCCGATTTTCACAATCCTCCCTAGATACCAATTTTTTGTCATTAAAGAAATCGTTTTCGAACAGGGTTATCGTATGTGATCCATTTCTCATCTCCAGTCACCATCCGTTTTAGAAATGGGTCTAAATCATTCCGTTTGGTCAAAGCTTGACAGATAAAAATTGGATCCATCCTAATTTTTCTGTTAATTGGTGTGGCACCCAATCCAGCTTTGTGTAAATGGTTTAAAAAAGGTTTAAGGTTGATTTTAGCTACTGGGGTGTTGACACTTTGCGGGAGATGTACCAGAACAAGTGGGCTGATAGGTCCCATATTCGAACCTGATATAGGTTTAGTAAAATATTACGACGTGCAAAGTTCGAATGAAAATGTACACATTTCCGATCGTTTCATATGAGATTTTTTTTAATTTTTACCCATTAGAGGGGAGGTACTAGAAGTAATAGACCGATAAGTCTGATCTTTCAATATTGTACAATATTGGATAACATATTAGGTTGTGCAAAGTTTAAATCGTGTAAATAAATGTTACGATTTGCAAAGTTTGAATAAAATTAGCCATAAGGATGCGACTTTAAAAATACTACGGGTAAACAATTTGCATTCATGGCCCCTTATGAAGGCCCGACAGCAACATTTGATAAAGCTATATTTTTATTTCCGAAAAATACTTTTAGTTTTGTGGAGAAGAATTAAACAGATATTTCCTAACATCGAACTTAGTCTAAGAATGGAAAGATATTATGATAAAAAAATTTTGGAGAAAAACGATTATGTCTTCGCCATTACATTTCTAAATCGATACAAAATTGACAATCTTGGGTTATAAAACCAATATTAGAATGTGAAACCTATTGGACTGAGATTTAATAGGTCTATGTTGACAATTTATAACCACTCCGGAGCACATATTAAAATTGCCATTCCGTTTACTTGAAGTATTGTAATCTATCCATTTAAAACCCAGTAAAGTATATATCCCTAAGCTGAGTGAAATTCTATAAATTTATGTTCATGTTTAGAAATATAAAAGAATCCGGAGAAATTTTTGAAGGACTGTTCATTGACCAGCCCACCAGAATTTAATGACATTGATATTTATTTTAACTTATGACTTCAAAATACTATATTCATACATCCATTTTAGCTCGGAACGACATAGCTAAATCATCTATGGCCTTGTTCGGCGTAATAAGACCTAAATATTTTTTTACAAATCCGACATTCATAATCTACAACATAAAAAATGTATTAGTAAAATTTCTTATACGGTTTCCTAGCAAGAATCGGGTAATGGCGGAAAAAAGAACAATGGAAAGATGCGAATATCGTGGAAGAACTTAAGATATAAGGGGGAATTATTTCTCATTCCTAACTCAAAAACGTTACCCATTGCGAATATTTCCTTCTTGGTTCCTTACATACTCACCAAAGGCTTTCATTCTCTAATTTAAGGGAACCCCCATTTTCGGTGTCGAAAAACTTCATTTAGTGTTTTGATTTCAAGTTTAAACCTCAAGAACTTTTGAAGATATATGTGATTGATTGTGTCAGCATCTGGTGATGGCAAGAGTGATTCTCAAACTCTAAAATCATTTTTCTCGAAGCACTGTTTTCAGCTTAGTATGTGGGCAAAATAGGCAAATCGCAAAAAAAATCCAAAGGTCCGTCATTTTGTTAATTTTTGAGGGAAGTCAATAATCCTAGTTCATACGAGAGCCAGACTTGTACTCTTTTTAACACCCTTGGAATTTCTGGATTCTGATGTTCCAGTGAGGAGTTATCATGCCCGCCATCATAAATAAGGAATTTTCTTTAATCACCAAAAACAACAGCAACCAAGTTTTGGAAATTATTTTTCCTTTCTTTTAAATCTTCAATTATATATGTGTAAAGTTACAAACCTTAACATGCATTGGTATTCATCAATCAGCCCAATGAAAATCTTGAAAATTTAAAATCGAGAATAGGGGAGGTCCCCTTAAACCGTAAATTTCAATTTATCATCTATCGATTTTTTTTCAAACATTGATATTTTTGTATAGAGGAACCACAAGACATTCTAATTATAAACATGTAACATGTAAGATAAACACAACATATTTTTAATAAAAACACTTTCTTCTTAAATACGTTGACGGTAAACGCAGCGACGCAAAGTTTTATAACGATAACCATCCTCAGCAACTTCAACAGTTGGAGCTGGGGCAGAAGTTGCAGGTGTAATATAGGTATTAACTGCAGCAGAGGAAGGAATGTAGGTGTTAGCGGGTGCTGCTACGGGAATATAAGTCCTGGCTGGTGCAGATGCTACTGGTGGAAGGTAGGTATTTACAGGAAAATACCTACCTTCCACCAGGGGCATGATTATCATAACCGCCCAGCTCCGAAATATCAGCCATAACACAGCCCAACAAAGCCAATGACAAAATAATGAATTTCTACAACAAAAAAATAAATGTTTACTAATAATATTAAAAATTATATGTTTTCAAATCTTAAAATAGGTTATATATATATAGGTTTTTGAATTTCTGAATATTTAAAATAACAATGTGTATTCTATGAATCTTTTTTGTATTGAGAATATTACTAATATTATAATATATTGATATAAATGATTAAATATTTGGTAATCCTTGGTCCCGAAGATATATCGGTGTTGTATACAAAATATTGTTCAATTAATTCATTTTTTATTTGAGTTTTTTTTATTTGAATGTGGTTATCTAAAAAACGCCTTGCTATTTTTCCAGTCCTCATACCACTATATATAGCTCATATACCTATCTCATATATTATTCGTTTTCTCTTTTTTTACTAACCTTCACTCAAAATTGTAACTCAATGTTAGTTTATTTGATTTTCTCTGATTGTGTGTGTTTTTTACTATTTTCTCACAATTCTATTTCCCCCCAACATGCATACAATTTGCAACATTCTTAACCTCTGCACATGCACACAATTCCGCAACAGGTTAACACTTCTTCTTTACACAGTTCGTTTGCAATTTCCAAGTTTTTCT